CCCCCTCCTCAAGTTAAAAATAAATAAATAAATAAATAAAGTTGAATAATAATGAAAAAAATACATAATGAACAAAATTAAAAATGACCTTAAGCATATCTGAGGTGTTCTGAAGATGTCATAAGCTAACAGTATGCAAGTTGAGCACTCCAAGGTTATTCTCCCAACCAACTGCACATCTGGACATGCCACACTGAACACACCTGCTTTTTCAAGCCACACAGCCCACGGATACTTAAAAAGTATCAGTCTACAAAGCCCCTTGTTTCCTGAAACAGTAAGTCATCAACTGTAACTTCTTATGCTTTCTACTCTTGAATTAAGGGCAACAGGTACTGAAAAGAAGCCTGTCAAATTGGCAATGTGGCATTCCGGACACGTGCCACTTAAGCGTATGATTCTGAAAACCCGCTATTTAGATAAAACACTCAGATAATGCGAATTTTTTCATTTTAAGTCAGATTTACATCTTTTATAGATAAAAGAACCAGATAATACGCAGAAGCCTTATACTTACTGTTTCTTCAAATCCCTTCGCTGGAAAGACCCAAGGTTTTCAACTTGGAAACAAATTTGAGGTGCACTGCATGTCGCTGGCAGGTCTAAAAGATGCTGACTACCAAACCAGCAGTTCCAGCGCTGCTGTGATTTCTTCTGCAGACACAGCCACGGGTCCTAGGTGAAGCCGGCAGGCAGGGAGAGGGGCCTCGGCCCGCTGCAAGCTCACACTTAGGAGGACCGCGGACCGCATGCTGTCGTCAAGGCAACGACCTCACTGTCCCCAACCTTAGGCACAGTCTCCAGAGAGAGATACGGCACAGGTCAGAACGCGTCCACGGCAGGCACCAACACCTGTTAAGGCAAGGCCCGTGGGGATATTACCTGGGGTGAGAGGCCACCGCCTCCCAGCTCGAAAAGCGGCCGAGCCCTCGAGCCTGGGACCCTGCACCGCTCCAACTAGCCCTGGGCGAAGGCGTTGGCCTCGGAGCTGCAAGGGGCGGGTCCTCATCCGCCCGGCCCGCCGAGTGGGGCTGGCTTCCCTTGCTCTGATTGGTTGGGCCCTGTCGTCACGCGCTATGATTGGCTTAACTCAACGACCCCGCCCCTTCACCTGGGGCTCGGCCCAGTTCCCTGACGCGCAGACGCCGGCGTCTCACCACGCACCTGCGTTCTCAAAGCACCTGTCCGCCTTCGCCAGGAGCCCAATGCTCCCGGCTGAGGGCAGGTCATCTGGTGCCCCACGCGGAGGGGTAGGTGGTGGTTCTGTAGGACTGCCAAGACCACGCCAAGAGCGCGTCCTCACAGCCTACTCCTGGGGTGAGAAGCGGGGTCGAACGCCCTCACCCGGGAAGATTCTGCCCTATCGCGATTGGAAGCTCCTTTGTCGTCCCGGGCGGTGAGGCTAACCCGAGCCAGGTAGATGAGTGATGAGGTCTAGGAGGTGACGATTAGTAGGCGAGGCCAAGTGACAGAAGGTAGTTGATGACACACCTGGTTGTTAGGAGGGACCTTGGGGAGAACATCCCTGGTTTCAAGATACTCGAAGCATCAAGGAGGCCATGAGGCCACTTATTTTCCTTTCAACCAGGATAACCTCTCTAGATTTTTGTCTCTAAAATACCTTGATTCGGGGAAACTGTGTCCTGAATGCAGACATACATGCCCTAGTCAATTATTAACTTATTATACTTAAATATGGAGGCCAGAAGGTTGTGGCTAGGGTGGTTTGAGTCCTGGACCTAGAGGCTTGCTTTCTCACTTTCCCCCTCTCTCTGGTCAAAATAAAAAATAATAAATAACTTTAAAATATCTAATATGAAAGTATTTTTAAAAATATTTATTTATTTATTCATTCATTCCTTCATTTTAATTTGACCAGCGAGAGACAGAGAGAGAGAGAAATGAGAAAGCAAGCCACCAGGTCCAGGACTTGAACCGTGGTCAGCCATGTGGGAGTGTCCAGTGCCTTAACCACCACGCCACCTGCTGGTCTGAAAATATCTAATATGAAAGTATTTTTATTTCATTTGACTACTAAGAGGTAGGTTTTATTTATAAACTTCTGTGTTTGGTTATGTATTAATCTTTCAATGCTTAATGACCTTGGACAAACTGCTTAAAATCCATTGTAGTTCCTGAACCTGTCATACTGAAGACCAGACCTGGGACCAGGGTGTGGATTAGTATGGATATGAGTCCAAGATGTCTTTTTAAAAATTATTTAATTTAATTTTATTTATTTTAATTTGACCACAGAGGGACAGAGTGAGAGAGAAAGAGAAAGTGAGAAAGTAAGCTGCCAGGCCCAGGACTCGAACTGTGGTCAGCCATGTGGGAGTCCAGCGCCTTTAACCACCATGCCATCTGCTGGCCCCTCAAGATGTCTTAATGTAACAATTAGCTGTGACAAGTTGAAGCCATCATGCCTCATTGTGTTACCTCTATAGACCAGAACAGAATCTGATGTCCTTCTTTAATATGGAGATCCAGGTTTGTTGGGCCTTTAGCTTGAGAATCAGAGTGCAAAAACATTTTTACTTTTGTAAGTTTATAAAAATATTCAATCACATAAACATTTTAAGGCCCTTAAAAGTGAAAGGGCCTCAGGGACCAGCAGTTAGTGTAATGGCTATGTCACTAGACTCCCATGTGGTCTACCACTGTTCGAGTCCCGCACTTGTTGGCTTAAACTCACGCTGGGCACGTGTACGTGCATGTCCAAGATCTCAAGAGGAGAATGGAGAAGGCATTGCAGCGTGGCCATATCTCCTGGGGGGTGATTTCTCACCTTCTATCTCCCTGTCTGTCTTTCTAGCAAGTGCAGGCGCTCTATAGCAAAAAGCCTCTCCAAAAAAAAAGAGGACCTGAAGTTTAAATAACCTGTCTATATTGCACAGAGAACCAAAAAGACGGAAAATACTGGATTTAGTGAACAGGTGATGCTTGAGACAATTTCAGAAAGAACTGACTTTGAAAGGTAGTTGTAAAGGAGCCAGAGTATCCACGAATTACACATCCAGGGTTTCCTGTCCAGGATTGCTAATGTATTGTGGTGTGGCCATCCCCACTGAGGGTGCTTTCTCACTTTCCCTCTACCTTTCCCAGGAGTCCACATCCCCTCTAGCAATTAAAAAAAAAAAAAGAAGGGTGTGGGGCAAGAAAAGGAATACTGGAAAACCAAGGATAGGTAATGGAGAGAAGGCAACATCAAATGGCAATGACTTAAGCTTGAAAAGAAGGGGGTTAGGGGAAAGATTAAGAAAAGTGAATGTCACACACATTGGCTGGCCTTTATCTTTTCAGTAAAAGAATGTTTTTTCATAAAAAAAAGGTGTTATAAAATTGAGGCTAAAAGATTTGGGCGAAGCTCCTTGAAATAGGTAGTTATAACAAGTTATTTTCATATTAAAGAAACACCAATAGTACAATATGCCCATGAATGCCCTAGATACCATTCATTTACAATGGAACCAACTGACCCTGTAACACAGGCCTTGGCCAGACCAGGTTCAATAACGGAGGATATAAATGATATGTCAACTACCTTACTAGAGAATCAGTGGAGAAGGAGATCCAGGGAGTTACAAAACCAAGGATGTTGGAGAAACACCACTGGAATGGCTTGTTCTAAGTTCTAGCTGGATAGGAAGATACATTGTGAGAGCAGGCAGCTAGTAAACTGAAATAGGGAGGCACTGAGGGACTGGAGGCTATTATAGGCATGTAGACTAGACTAGACTTGGGGCCAGCAGGTGGCATGGTGCTTAAGGGCGCTGAACTTCCCATATGGCCGACTGCAGTTTGAGTACCGGATCTGGCAGCCCGAAGTCTTCTTGCCCCGGCCCCCCCCCCCGCCCCATCCCTCTCTGATCAAATTTAAAATAAAGTTAAGTAAAAGAATTATTTTTTTAAAAAAAGAACAGAATAGACTTAGCAGGAGCAAAATATAATATTATAGAAAGAGAAAAATTAGTGAAATAAATGTGAATTCGAGATCCTGGAAATGGCACAAATGATGCTCAGTTATAGGGTGGAATGTGTGGCTGCTCTTTGGGTAGCCGAAGTTCAAGGGAAAACCTTGAGTTAAAAGTCACCTGAGTTAAAACAAACTTAAAGGGCACAGTATGAAAAATTCATTAACAGAAAAACTATCCAAATGGGATGATAATAGAAAAGGCTGAGAGGGACATCTTAATCACTGAAGAAAGTGAAAATGTTCTAAAAAATTTAAAAACGATGTGGAAATGCATGAGATGGACATTGCGAGAGCTGGAGATGATGGCACTAAAACGAAGGTGGTGACAGCGGTTCCACACTCACGGATACACCTGAGATGAAAACACGTTCACACACATCTGCGTTCACCAGGTGGTCTGTGCTCGTCTGTACACACATGGTGACTGCAGCATTATTTGCCATAGCCAAAAAAGTGGGAACAACTCAAATGTCCATCAGCTGAGAAAAAATTGGTATATGCACTCAATGGAATGTTACCAACTATAAAAGGAAGTATCGGGACCAGCAGTTGGCATAATGGCTATGTCACTGGACTCCGATGGAGTCAACCATGGTTTGAGTCCTGGACCTGGTGGCTTAAACACACGCGGGCGCGTGTGCATGCGTGCCCAAGATCCCGAGAGGAGAATGGAGGAGAAGGGATTGCGGCATGGCCATCCCCCCCGAGTGAGGGGGGAGATTTCTCGCTTTTTGTCTCTCTGTCTCTTCCTGTCTTTCTGGCGAATGCCCGCGCCCTACAGCAAAACAAAACAAAACAAAAACAAAACAAAAAAACACCTCTAAAAAAATTAAAATAGAATATAAAAGGAAGTATTGATACATGCTGCAATGGGAAAGAATCTTTTTTTTTTTTTGTGCTATAGCACGCAGGCACTCGCCAGAAAGACGGAGACAAAAAGCAAGAAATCACCCCCCCGGGGTGGGGGGGGAGGATGGCCATGCTACAGTCTCTTCTCCTCCATTCTCCTCTTGAGGTCTTGGGTACACACGCACAGGCACCCAGCGTGAGTTTAAGCCACTGGGTCCGGGACTTGAATCGCGGTCGACTACATGGGAGTCCAGCGACATAGCCATTACACCATCTGCTGGTCCCAAGAAAGAATCTTAGAAACACTACACTAAGTGAAAAGCCAGACACAAAAAGCTGTTACAATTTCATTTTGCCTACGTGTCTAGCACAAGCAAATTCATAGAAATAGGAACAAGATCAGTGGTTAATAGGGGCTCAGGGGAGGTGGCAATTAGGGAGTGACTATTAATGGATATGGGGTTTTTTTGGGAATGGTAAAAATATATTAGATACTGGACTTAGATACTAGTGATGGTTATACAACTTTGTAACTGAACTTAAAAAAACAAAAAGCAAAACAATGAATTGTACGTTACAAAGTGAACTTTAGGGATCAGCAAATGGCATAATCGTTATGTTGCTAGACTCCCAGGTAGTAGAGACCGCAGTTCAAGTCCCAGACCCAATGGCTTAAATTCACGGTGTTTGTGTGTGCCCCAAATCCTGAGAGGAGAATGGAGAGGGATTGTGGTATGGCCATCCCCCTTGGGCAATGATTTCTTGCTTTGTCTCTCTCTCTCTCTACAGAGAGTACATGCACACTATAGCAAAAATCTCTTTAACGACCACAGTATGAGTCCCAGACCCGGCAGCTAAAACTCACAACAGGAATGTGCATATATGTATGCCCAAAATCCTGAGAGAACAGAGAAAGGATTGCAGTGTGGCTATCCCCCCCCTTAGAGGTGATTTCTCTTTCTCTTTCCATCTCATCGGCGGCCACATGCACCCTGTCTCATGCAGTGTGTGCACACACTCTCTGGCAAAAAATTATATGTGT